AAGAATGGAAGAAACTGCAGCGGGCCTATTGGCTCATACTGGGCAGTCCCGTTTACACCCAACCCCTATTGCTCATATAAGCATCCAACCTATGTTTGAAGCTATTCAGCGTATTCGAGTTAATGATGATATTTGGTAACTTGTTCCATTCATCCACTCACTCTGTTTCCAAAACCAGTGTTTACCTATTTGGCGCCTAAATTCCAAATTTGTCTGATTTAAAACCATTGTTACGAGTTCGCCCTGGTTGGATAGTTTGGAGTACCTTGTAATGTCCCCTTTGTTTAGCCCTGACTCCACTCTCTATATTAATTCTCTATCAGGTCGCCCTCGCTCTACGTCTCTCGAGGAGTGCAAATTAAGATGCTTTAACCTGTCTCTATACTCAAGGTTCCTAATGCCCGGGATTAGTCTTGTCATTCTCCTCTGAATTCTTTCCAAGGATTCTATATCCATTCTGTAATACGGTGACCAGAACTGAACTGCGTAATCCAGGTGTGGTCTTACAAGAGCAAGATACAGTTTTAGGATGACCTCGCTTGTCTTGTAACTAACACTCCTTTGTATGAACCCAAGTACTTTATTAGCCTTGTTATGAGCAAAAACACATTGTTTACTTGGCTTAAGATTCCTACTTATCATTACTCCTAAATCTCTCTCGCAGTCGGATTCCACAATGGCATCGTTGTTCATCTGATAACTGGTTTTCCTGTTTACATCTCCCATACTGAGTACTTTACATTTGTCCACATTGAATTTCATCTGCCATTTTTCCGACCATTCGAAAAATTTTCAGATCTTCCTGTAGTTTTGCAGAGTCCTCGTCAGATTTAATTACAAGTCCTATTTTAGTGTCAACAGCAAATTTACTTATGTTGCTGTCTATGATATCTATGTCGTTTATGTATAATTAAATAATAATGGTCCAAGTACTTTGAGCCCCTTGGGGAATTCTACTTGTGACGTTGCTCCAATGGGACTTAGTGACATTAATGTCAATTTCCTTGTCCTGTAACCACTTCTAATCCATTTACATGATATTACCTGATGCCATGTGCTTCTACCTTCTAATTAGTCTTTCGTGGGGACTTTGTCGAAGGCTTTACAAAGTCGAGATATACCACATCATAATTGTGCCCCTCGTCCACCCATTCGGAAAACTGATGAAAAGAGTGTTAATAGATTAATATGAACATCTGGCCAGAAGCCACAAGTTGGGAATCATTGATCAATCGGAAAGCTCAGGTGATTTCGAATAGAGTTTGAAATGATTGCTTCCAGTAATTTGTCTACTATTGATGTTAGACTGATTGGCGGTAGTTAGAGGATAGTGATCTATCCCCCTTCTTAAAAATTCTGCATACATTCGCCATCCTCCAGAATTCTGGTACTACACCTGGCTTTTTAAATCTATGTTAAAACAACTTTTGCTAAGGGCATACTAAGCTCTTCCCTTAGCATTCCTTTAATACTGGCAAATATCTCATCGGGACTAGTGACTTATTAGGCTTTAGTTTGTCTATTTACATAACATCGTTACTAGTCACTACTATCTCGCTTAATTTAGTTTTCTTCACTATCTCTGAATAAAGTCGGTGCCCCGGTATCATAAGCTAAATTTTTGGTGGTGAAAACTGTTGAAAAATATTTATTCAAATTATTGCTGATTTCTGTTTTCGCATTTAAAGAGCCTGCCGGTGTCTGACCGTATTGGTCCAATGTTTTCAGGTTTTAGTTTGGATACATTTGGTAGTGAATCCTTTGGGGTTTGTCTTCGCCTCCCTTGCTATCCTTACCTCCCTCTTAATCCTCTTGGCTTTCCATATCTGGTTTTAACCCCACTAATACCCCATAATAATCCTGGAGGTGAATTTCGCCACCATTTATCCTTTCCACCTATAGCCTCTTTGGCCAATAATGTTCTTAAATAATTATTTATCCATTTAGGGTCATTGTTGTCTGATCTGAGTTTTTGTATGGTATGTTCTGCCTTTGTGCATTAAGTAACCTACTGGTCACAATTCTTGCTGAACTCAAGTAATCTCAGATCTCGTTATCTGGTCGGTGTCATCTGCTGTGTTCACGGCTGCTTAACACCCCCTCAGCTGCCCTTAAACTGTCAAAGCTTGTCTTTCCTGAAATCTGGGCAATTTTAGTAATTTTTCCTCACGCTCGCCCTGAAAATCTAACTGGAATCTAATTCTTTTGTGATCGCTGTTTGCAAGTTCGGTTCCCTACCCTCGACATTGCTAATGAGGCTTCTGTTCGACAAGAACTAAATCGATAATATTATTACCCCGTGTGAGTTCGATATATGTTGACTTAGGAAACAGTCCTGGATCGTCTTGAGAAAATCCTGTGATTCTTGAGCACCAGAAGGTCAGTCCATAATCTATTTGCCATGTCTGCCGCCTACTATGTACAGACTTTACAGTGAAGCCCCGCGCATTTCATCCCAGATAAGTCGCTCATTAACTCTGTCAAGATTGGGAGGCTTATATATTACACCTGTGATAAATTTTTTCCTACCGTCGCTTATTTCTATCCAAATTGTTTCGTAATCCGCTCAGTTTTTATTTCCTTATTTATTTCTTACACACTTGATTATCCTAACATAGATTGCTACTTCCGCCTCCTCTTCTGGTTTGCCTATCGGTATGGAACAATTCTAAAAATCATAATTTGGGGCCTCGACCGGCAACTCACGGGAAGCCCAAAGGATCCATGTTTCAGTGGAATGTTATTATATTTATTTTTTCGGCACATACCATCATAATATAGACAGCAACATCAAATGTAGTATCAAAGATAGTCCCCAGGCGATAACATAGTCTCACATTTACAAACAACAATCTCATAGGTGTATGTTTTTCTACTGGCGCTTGTTTGATCTGACAAAGCTCACTATAAGTGCCACTTCACCAAGCTCGGCTGATCATGAAAATTTCCCTCGTCATACCTCAGCTTATAATTCCACCAATTTTAATGCCTGTGATTTGTTTATGCATATAACATTCTAATATTAAGATGATAAAAGTAAAAATTATCAATAATCAATATATATAACAAATATTAAAGATAAATACAACAATAAATATTACAGAAATAACAATAATAATAAATTAATAAAACAATATGGATATGAATAATATAAAATAACAGTTATATACATAAAACAATATATATAATACTGATAATATACAAAATAAGATAACATGCTTAGTCAAAATAGTGTTGTGATCATGTCATAGCTGGTGTCATTAGTTCCTTCAGTGAGGTAGAGACTTGCTCCATCGTCCTCCAGGTAACTACATAACACACCCCTTAACTTCACTAATTACACGAGTGAATTACATCATGGAAGGTGCCAAATAAGAGGTTTCAAGAGAATGTTATCTTTTTGGAGTCGTTGTTATATTGTATCAAATGGATTCAATAGCTAAGGTCTTTGAGCACAGAACACAAAGTGAGTTTCTGCACTACACAATGTTGTCCGCTTTTAGGTGCTTCAGCTGCCATGGTTAGAGGGAGGGATTTTGTTTCTGGCCAAAGGATGACAGACAGCTGTTACAATGTCCAGGTCCAGCTGAAGAATAGAACTCTCAGGTCGGCCACCATATAGGGGCCACACAACTGGGGGCCACAGCTGAGGGCCACGACTTAGGGGCCATTATCAGCATGTCAGCCAGTGGACGTCCATCACCCTCAATGACTCTCTCTCTACATATTAACTCATTCTACTTAAATCTTCTTAACTGAAAACTGGTCACATGATGATGGTACTGTGTATGGTGGATCTAGTAACTTCAGGACGACTATGTTTATTATCACCATAATGTATTCTAATTACCAAATATTCTAAAGGGAAATATTTTAATAGTTATCCAGTGCCAGCGACAAAGGAATGAATATCAGATGACAAGCCTATTTTACCATTCTCCTGTAACGGAAATTCTCACGGAGGTGTGGCATGGTGGTGGTAGTGAAGGAGTTGGGGCGTGGCATGGTGGTGGCGGTAGTAGAGGAGATGGTGGGCGGTGTTGCTGTGACCATGGCGGAGGCTGTATATAACATGGTGGGTGGCAGCCTCCAGCACCACACACCATCACCAGCCAACACCATGACTGCACTTAAGGTACGACGTCTATTTTGACTACCGTCGTTGAAGATCTCCGATGTCAGTGAATTTAACCTCATTTTGTGCTACAGTTAACATTGTGCCTCGTACCTCCCAGCACGGAGTCACTGTGATTGTGATATTACCAGGTCACCTTTATTAACAGTAGTGATAATTTTACTCCAAAGGCCATCAAACAATTAGACGTCACTGGTAAGATTAGCTACTTGTGCTTCCGATCCTAATGTTGAGCTTATTGCACACTGTGACGCGTAGTTGGTGCTATACAATGCTTCATGATGTCCAGCTCGTGTTCCTGGTTCACTTCACACCAGATGTACTAATTGTTATGACCTGTTAACGAATATTTCATTGTCTACATATATCACTAACATGCTTTAACCCTTTAGAGGGCAGCTCAACACTTAAGTATTTTATTCTGGGTAACGCCAGACGATTTTTTTCAATCAGAGAAGCCCCCCGCTGCTCTCTAAACTAATCAACCACATTCGAAAAACAGGAAATTTCAACATCTGTATACAAGTTTTGGAAATTACCCTGTCTATTATAGGACTTCATAATATATTTGTTGACAATGCAGTGACCACCCACGGCCACACCACCACAGGTAACACAACACTCTGCCTCCTGGAGGAAGAGTGTGTTTTTCTCTTGTCGTTGTACTAATAAATGTTTCCTTCCTTACATCAGCTGACGCTCTTTGTAAGCCTTGCGGCTCTCGTCCACGGCGACACCTCCGTCATACACGGGGCGGAAGTCACCACGGGGGCGGAAGTCACCACGGGGCGGAGGCCTCCACGGAGGATCTGTCATCCACGGAGGCGCAGTTCACGGGGTGCAGTTCATCACGGAGGCGTGAAACACGGGGGCGGAGGCTTCCACGGGGGGCGGAGGCCTTCACGGGGCGGGAGGCCTCCACGGTGGCGTAGTTCACGGGGGCGGAGGCCTCCACGGGGGCGCAGTCCACCACGGAGGATCTGTCATCCACGGAGGCGCAGTTCACGGGGGCGCAGTTCATCATGGAGGCGCAGTGCACCATGACACTTACGTAAGTTGACGGAGAGATCATAAGTTTTGCCTCATAAATAACAAGACACTTGACGTGTTTTTCACCTGACAGTTTTCACCATTATGTTAAATGTTCTTCTCATAACACAAACAACAGTGTTTTATGGCTCTTGTGTCATTACTGAGTTTATTTAGTGATGGCGCCAACATATACTTAAGACCCGTGTTAACACTATCACACTACAGGCATCACCTCACTACGACTACGCCTACGGGGTCCACGACGACTACGCCGGCACCAACTTCGGTCACATGGAATCTCGCGACGGCTACAGGACCGAAGGCAAATACGTGAACCTGCCCGACGGTCGCATCCAGACCGTCACTTACTACGCTGACGAGTACGGCTACCACCCCACCGTCACCTACGAGGGCGTCCCCCACCATGCAGCTGTTGGCCACGTCGACGGGGGCTACCACAAGTAGCTTATCCTCACTTAGAGACTTTATACAAATATATTTTTCTACCAGGACAAGCTATGAAGAGATATATCGTGGTGTTAATACATTACGTTAATTATGTTCCTCTTAATAATGTAATCAGATTTTTCCCCTTGTACTTTGTAAATAAACTTGTGCAGAGTCATACAATTGTTTTACCCTTCTTAAACAGGATCGAGGATAAGCGATAAGAAATAAACTATATATTCTCTCATCGTATAAGTATCACAAGGTCCTGCCCTCTGCTGAACCCCACAGTGTCTCTCCGTAGAACACAAAACTTAAAGTCACTACACGATAATGTGACCAAAAAGAACAGCTTCGTGGAGTTTCGGCTTTAAACTACACAACCGAGATAACTTTCTTCTGGAGTAGGTGACTGTTGCACTGAGACTCCGGAGTGTTTATCATTATTATTGCACCTATTATATCATGAGCTATAACATGAACCACATGATACAATTCTCCACAATATTGAGACAGCACCGTGAAGCCTGGGAGGTATTAAGGGGTCAAGTTTGAAGATCCTTGGCGGGATAATCAAACATTTGGAGTTTTCACGGATTCTAAAAAAATCAACAACTTGCTGTCCAGTTAACCCCTCCCATATAAGCCATCTGTACAACCATGATTTATATTAACAAGTGGAGGTCTTAAATGCATGTCCAGGCTGCATTCTGTATGTTATCTTACTATGAAAATACAACTGAATCTTCCACATCAGGAGGTACACACCGCCATAACGGGAGTATCAAGAAACACTGGGCTGCATTTGAAAAAAAATTCATGAGGTGCGGGGTTTCTTAGTTGATTCTTTATGTATTTTGTGTGCTGATTCCAAAAATGCCATTCATTTTGCCCAATCAGGTCAGATTTTTATGCTATGGGAATTAGGAAAAAATCGAAATTCTTAAATATGATGTCAAAATTTTTATGCAAAATATCATAAGAAATGTAACCACAACACATAGGACCAAAATATGTCAACTACATAGATGCCTTACAGTTAGACATGCATAATGGCTGTGCAGAAGAATTTCTTTGGTGGTTGGTGTCTGGGCTCCCGTTTCAGACACCAACAGTAGTCAGCGAGCATGTTGATATCCCAGCGACCCTGGTACCGCTCCTCCATTACACGGATATCTTGATGGAAGCGTTCTCCTTGTTCCTCGCTCATCATCACAGTTCTCTGGAAAGTAGTCAAGTGGGAGCTGAGGAAGTGCATCTTGATGGACATCGTGCACCAAGAACTTTGTAGCTCAAATAGGTCCTCAACAACTCGTTCATACTCTGGACTTCTGTAGTTGCCAAGAAAATTGGAGACAATAGACTTAAAGGCATGCCAGGCTTTCTTCTCATTTACATCCATGCTGCAATCAAACTTGGGATCTTTGAAAAGCTCTCTGATCTGAGGGCCATCAAAATTCCTGCATTCAGTTTTGCCTCACTGACTTTTGAAATTTTTTTCAGAAAATTGAAAGCCTGGCTTTTTGTCCAGTGCCTTTACAAAGTTTTTGAACAGATCCGAGCTTGATGTGCAGTGGCGGAAGAAGAATGTTCTGCGGATTCACCAGAGCATGGGCAACAACATTGTGAGAACCTGGAGTAAGTCCACTTCTTGCAGGCCAGTCACGTTGCATGTGTGCTGCTTGTCTGCTCGATTATCCCACAGACAGAGGAAACATGACATGTACCACCAGATGAAAAAGAAATTTAATTGTGAGAAATATGTAAAAAACACGGACATATCTCTTTTCCTCTGCGTCACGGCGGACATTTAAATGGCCGGCGAGCACGTGGTGAATTTAAATGCATCGTAAGGGCATTAAAACTGACAAAATCTTTTTGCGGATGATTTTTTATGAACGAATATGAGGACCCCATTTTGAGCGAAAAATGCCAATATTTTACCTGAATCTCCGCTTAAAATGCTATAGCACAAAATTTTGACCTAATTGAGCAAAATGGATAACATTTTTGAGATCAGCATGCAAAATACACCCAGAAAAGCAATGATACACAAACCTCAAAAACTATGCAGGGCAGTGGAATCAATACATACTGTCACACATTCGTTGTTTCATCAGTGCAGCGGATCTATAACGTGTTCCTCTCTTATTTTCCGAAACCATATTATTTTTATAGCTTTTTTAATTTATTTGTTTTCAGTTTTTGCAAAGGAACTTGAGGATGTGGCTTATACTTAATGGACCTATTTAATACAAATTATGGCATTTATAAGTTACATTATTTGAAATACGATTGTCATTAACTTAAATAACTTATGTGCCTCCAGAACTTTGCAAAACTTCGTCAGTCTTTTTTTCCTGGTGGAGATGCCGACGTGTTAGATGAGTCAGAGTAGATGTGACCAAACTCTGCCTATGGACAGTTCCCCAGCTACCTCCTACAAGCTTAAGTGATCAATATATTAGACCAACTGCGTTACATTTTTCATTATACAACTCTACAACAGTAAGCTATTCACCGTAATGAGGATCCATTTTCCAGTGACTGAGTAATAAAACAATAGCGACCGCGTAGTGTTGACACTTACTATGATGGCGTCAACACTCCTGACGGTGGTGCGGTTCGCGTGTCGTCATCGCTAAAGAAATGTATACTGTATACTGTACTGTAATAAATAAACTAAATAAACGTTGGTTATGGCCTCTTATATAACAAAAGAATACACACCCCCCACGTTATTGGGCGTGTGTGGGGGCGGGGTTATGGTATTAATTTGTGTATGTGAATGTGGTGGTGTAATGGTTAGCATGCTCGCTTCATAAGCGAACGGGCCCCGGTTAGATCCTCGGGCAGGGTGAATTTATGGGCAAGTTTCTTTACGCCATTTGACTCTGTCTACCCAGCAGTAATTGGGAACATGGATGTAAATCGATTTGTGGATCGTATTCCGGGGTAATGGTTAGCTAGTGCAGTTGGTGAGTTGTCCGGTCTTCTCGCACTATTCATTGCCACTGGGTCATGCAGCTCGTTAACTTAGGGTGTGGTTGTAGTGTTGGCGACAGCTTCTACACCTTAAACAAATTCACGCCTAGGTGGCCCTTACATAGGCCATCCTAGTCACACGAGGTGCATCCACTATTATACACTATGTTCAAACATCAACAGAGAGGAAAATCAAGTGTCAGGAGAGGAGGGGAGCAATACTGGGCAGCGCGGCCGGATGGAGGTGTGCGTGCGTCACTACCTTACCGGACCATTATATCCGCCGCCTCACCCAGACGCTACTATGGCTCCCCCGGCACCATCCTCCCGCATTGAAAGGTATGGTGGGGTGTGATGAGTGTGTATAGGAGGTGTGATGAGTGTGTATAGGGGTGTGATGAGTGTGTATAGGGGTGTGATGAGTGTGTATAGGGGTGTGATGAGTGTGTATAGGGGGTGTGATGAGTGTGTATAGGGGTGTGATGAGTGTGTATAGGGTGTGATGAGGTGTATGGGTGTGTGAGTGTGTAGGTGTGATGAGGTGTATAGGGTGTGAGTGTATGGGGTGATGAGTGTGTATAGGGGTGTGATGAGTGTGTATAGGGGGTGTGTGTGTATAGGGGTGTGATGAGTGTGTATAGGGTGTGATGAGTGTGTATAGGGGTGTGATGAGTGTGTATAGGTGTGATGAGCGTGTATAGGTGATGTGTGTATAGGGGTGTGATGAGTGTGTATAGGGGGTGTGATAGGTGTATAGGTGTGATGAGTGTGTATAGGGGGTGTGATGAGTGTGTATAGGGGTGTGATGAGTGTGTATAGGGGTGTGATGAGTGTGTATAGGTGTGATGAGTGTGTATAGGGGTGTGATGAGGTGTGTATAGGGGTGTATGAGGTGTGTATAGGGGGTGTGATGAGTGTGTATAGGGTGTGATGAGTGTGTATAGGGGTGTGATGAGTGTGTATAGGGGTGTGATGAGTGTATAGGTGTGATGAGTGTGTATAGGGGTGTGATGAGTGTGTATAGGGTGTGATGAGTGTGTATAGGGGTGTGAGTGGTATAGGGGTGTGAGTGTGTGTATAGGTGTGATGAGTGTGTATAGGTGTGATGAGGTGTGATGGTGATGAGTGTGTATAGGGGTGTGATGAGTGTGTATAGGTGATGAGTGTGTATAGGGGTGATGGTGTGTATAGGGTGATGGTGTGTGGGGGTGTGATGAGTGTGTATAGGGGTGTGATGAGGTATAGGGGTGATGTGTGTATAGGGGTGTGATGAGTGTGTATAGGGGGTGTGATGAGGTGTATAGGTGTGATGAGTGTGTATAGGGGTGTGATGGTGTGTATAGGGTGTGATGAGTGTGTTTTGGTGTGATGAGTGTGTATAGGGGTGTGATGAGGTGTATAGGGGTCTGATGAGTGTATGGGGGTGTGATGGTGTGTATAGGGGTGTGATGAGTGTGTGTATAGGGGTGTGATGAGTTGTGTATAGGGGGTGTGATGAGTGTGTATAGGGGTGTGATAGTGTGTAGTGTGAGTGTGTATAGGGGTGTGATGAGTGTGTATAGGTGTGATGAGTGTGTATAGGGGTGTGATGAGTGTGTATAGGTGTGATGGTGTGTATAGGAGGTGTGATAGTGTGTATAGGGGTGTGATGAGTGTGTATAGGGGTGTGATAGTGTGTATAGGGGTGTGATGAGTGTGTATAGGGGTGTGATGAGTGTGTATAGGGGTGTGAGAAAAGTTTTCATCATTACTGCAAGAATACAGGCGCCATTATTTTGAAGTTTATTAAATGTGTCTGGTTAGTATACCAGTCTGACGAGAGGATAGTTCAGTGTACTATGTGTGGCATAGTTAGCAGTGATGGGTTAAAGATAATGCAGTGACGTAAGTGTTGAAGATGATGAAAGAACGGAAACAGTGAATTCACAAAACAACAATAAGAACTTTATCAAAACAAGAATCAAGAGCAGTGCCAAAATAAACCATTTTCCTTTAAGCAAAACTATTACACTTCAGTAAATATAACTAAGATGATGTATAATTACAGTCGACATACATTACAGCCCAACAGTGATACAGTCAGAGATTACAGCTGGTGTGATGTCGCTGGCTTCCTATCTTACCGAAGAGTCCATAATAGAACAGGCACCCAAGAGTTGTATGCCAGGAAGTGAGGTCTTTATTTGCTTCTAT